TGAAAGTGCAGCATCAGAGTCAGGGACAGCAATCAAATAACATGGAAAGAATAATGTTACTGTCCTTAAGTGTGAAATTTACCACAATTAACAACAGAAAAGAGTCAATTGATAAGCAGTAAGCAGTTTAATCACTGTCCTTCATGCCTGCTTAGTCCCTCTGCCCTTCTTTCAGCCAAGAGTGGAGAATTTTAGGAATAGTCAGTGGGGAGCAGCAAGGAGAGAAAATTTCAACATTAGAAAACTTTCCATCAAACAGACACCTGGAAGAGAAATACCGTGCAAATTAGGTTTGCGAACACAGACTTAAAAGTTCTTTTTTTTTAAAAAAAGATTTAATTTTTTGCTTATGTGTGAGTACTTGCATATTTGTATGTGCACCATATGCCTGCTCACAGAGGCCAGAAGAGGGCATACAATCCCATGGAACTGAAGTTAGATGTGGTTGTGAGCCATCACCATGTGGGAACCAAACCCAGGTCCTCTACAAGACCAGCAAGTACTCTTGATGGCTGCGCCATCTCTCCAGTCCTAACTTAAAAGTTCTTAATGGGGGGTTGGCAATATGGCCCAGAGGGTAAACACTCCCCAGAACTCACGTGCTGGAGAGAGGGAACTGACTTCTGTAAATCCTTCTCTGACCTCCACACATGTGTCTTGTCATGCCCTTGCCCTCACCCCCCACACAAATACATGAATGTAAAGAACTATTTTTTTTTTTTAAATCTTGCTGGAGTAGTGGCTCACACCTTTAATCCTCACACTTGGAAGGCAGAGGCAGGCAAATCTCTGTGAGATCAAGGCCAGTCTGCTCTCTATTGTGAATTGCAGGTCAGCAAGGGCCACAGGTATGACTCAGGGGTAGATTGCTTGCTTGCTTCATGTGTACAAGGCCTTGGGTTCAATTGCCAGCACAGCAAGAAGAAAAAGTATTAATAGGATTGTGGCAAACTGCTGTATAGCTCACAGAGTCATGGCAAGTTGGAGGAAGCCTGAGCTGCCATTTACTAATATGCCCAGCAAATTATGCTTGTTCTTTGAGTACCCCTCCAGCTTTGTGCCTGATGCTCATCCAGAGAGAAAGAAGGGAGTGGAGCTGGTGAGAGCCTCAGGCAAATGAAAAAATTGCCTTTTTTATTTAGAATTTTGATATTTTGTTGATCAGGGGCCTTTAGCATATATTTTTATTT